TTTTATGCAACAGCAAGACATGTCTGAAAGGTAGGAGGGTGAAAGAAGAGAAGTAGCTGTAGTCATTGCACAGCTGGCTTGACATGCTTTGACAACAAAGATAGTGTTACAGGATTGGATATCTTTTTAAAATGTACCAACCTGTATTGCTGATGGAGATCGTTGTGCAGTGAAAACAGGAAGAAAAATGTGGTTTTTCTGGTGTCATTGGCTGATTACTGAAAAACAAAAAGGTGTCTCAACAAAGTGTGTAACTTCTTGTAAAAATGTGTGAAAGACACATTGATTGAGATGTGGAATTTGTATCTTGCACATCAGATCCATGAAGAGTTGCATGGAATGTTAGTTAATATGCTAGGAATGCATAATTATCACGATGAGACCTAATGATGTAATTATGTCTTTTTGGGGCGCAATTTTATGATGCATAAAGCAAGATAATTGATGATACAGCTAACAGCAAGGATGTTTTGTAACCATAACTTACAGGTGTGTTTGTCACTAAATTATGCTCAAGAGAACTGCTTTAAAATGTTGCATAATGTCTCATAAAACTCCTATAAAAATAATTGAAAGGTAATAGAGCATGGAAACACAATGCCCAAGTCCTCTACTATTCTAAGTCCAGAGAGTTCTCATAATAAATGTTTGCATACAAGCAGCACCTGCTACATAACAGTAAATTGTGTGCATTTTGAAGAAAGCACAGCCTGAATTCTGAGTTTCCTGTCTTTTAAATACCTTTACAAATTGCATTTGTAAGTTAACCCTGCAGTTCATTTCTGTTGATCAGCCTTGACATGTGCAACTGATGGAGACAACATAAATAACTGGGTGTTTGCATCATGCAAGCAAACAGCTATTTGTGCAAGTGGTTTGGACAGATCCATAACCAGCTCTCTTAGAGCCTACACAAAAAAAAAATAATCAGCAGCTTGGACCTAGATATAAAAACTCTTTGCTTTGGGAGGGTTTATCACTCTTTTCTTAGTTTATTTGGGTTTGAGGTTTTTTTCCTTTTTCTTAAAGACGATCTTAAAATTCATCAGATTTAGTTCCTTTAGAAGGGCCCGTGTTTGTCACTTCCACAGTAGCAGGACTGAAAGAGCTCAGAGCACTTTGCTGTTAAATAGCAACCTGACCACACTTCCACTGAGGTCAGCCACATGGGAGCACGAGAGCCTTGCCATCATGTATGTGCTCTGGTTTGGTGGGATGTGAAGCTATAGCAAGCACTGGAGAAATTCTGACTCTGAATACATGTACAAGGTAGTATAAATAGGCCTACTACTTGTTCCCAAATCTTTTCTCAAGGGCATTCCATATTTACAGGGAAAGCAGCCATGGTTCAGTGAAAACTAAGCCTGCTTGGGGCTGCTGATTCATGAAAAGTATCTGGGGAGAAGAGTACTGGAAGCTGGACCAGACCCCAAAACTGCTCAAAACACTGGGACAAAAACCTTTAAATTTCCCACCTGCAAGAGTTTGCTTATAACTTTATCTTTACTCCTCTTCCACCAAGCTTTCCATTTGCCATTTTCTATGAGGCAAAGCTGAACTTGCGCTATAGAGTCTAAGGTGTTTGTTTATCGAGGCTGCCCGTTGTATCGGGAGAAAGGAGTCTTTTGACTGACAGTCTTTGCTTAACAGCCAAATATCTAAAATAATACACAGGAGGAATGTTTTTCACTCAGAATATCTTTCGCTTGTGTAGTTTCAGAAATAGCTCAGCTATAGCTCTTCAAAGTATTTCATGGACTTTTAATATATTCTCCCCTTAAAGTCAGCAGGACTCAAATGCACTTGCACTGCAGTTAGAAAATTTACAGCATTTTGTTGCCTATGAAAATTTTGCCAAGATGTCAGTGGGAGGAGAAGCAGACTCATTTCACGGACACATGACTGGCACTGACATCTTGATAATGTGTGACTTTTTTAACAGTGAACTCTACAGAAGTGCATGATTTTCCAAGATATGGCCTGATACCTCGTAAATCATGTTTTGAAAAATGCAGTAGCTGTTCTGTACTCATTCCTTCCAGTTTACAAAATATTTCAGCCACTTAATTCTCCACTGGGACTTCCACTGAGGAAAAAGCATAAAATATATTGGGTTAGTCATGAGTACTTTCACTTACTCACCCAGTCCATGCTACCTCTATTCAGCTCATATGCAGCACTCTAGATTTCAAGGTCCTATCCTAGCAAATAATTGCTTTGTACAATATTTTTGGTTGGTTTCCTTAATTATTTAGATGAAATGGCTATTTTATAAATTTCAATGATGCTACACAAACAGAATGATTTCCCTGAGCTTTTTTGAAGTGATCAGAAGTCGTGTGATTTCAAAGCATCCTTTAGGCACTTAAAGTGAGATCCTCCTCATCCAACTTCAGATGCCTTGAAGTTGTGTCCACTCTCAGGAAAGCCCGTGGGCTCCTCATGTAGACAGTCTGGACTGTGGGTGACTCCAGCTGAAAATAATAGGCATCGAGGCTGGGTTGAGTAAGTGGGTATCTGGACATACCCACTTGTCTCCACTGACTGTAGAGGGAGCCAAGAAAATTTGCTAAGCCTGGCTTTGCAGGCTGGCAACTCCAGTTAGGTGGGAGAAATCATATTTTAACCAGATGGAGGTTTTAGATGTTTCATGTTGACTTGAGTATTCTGAAATTTTGTACATGGATTTGACATCAGTGGCAAAGCTGTAGCCATGATATGAAGAACTAGACTGGAGGGCCAGCCTCAGAAATTAGAAGTTGATCACACTCAAGATTTTTCCCCCTTACCACTTTAAGTTTCCTTTCCAATCCTCTTTTATAGGATTCTTAAAATATAGTCAAGTATCTCTTCTTAAAAGACATCATAGATACCCCCCACGCACCCCAAGAAGAGAGAGAATGGAGGAATACTGTTGCCACAGAGTGTTTCCATTAGTGAAATTAATTCCTCTCTCATAAGAATTTAGGTCTGTGATTTATGATAACCACTAGTTTCTCACTGCAGGCAAAGTGAGAGGAAATGACTCAGCCTGGACAGACATCATGAATCTAATGTTTTTTCCCCCTAATGCTTGACATAATCTAGTGTGCTGCTCCCAGAGGTGTCATTGGAGATTCATATCCAGCCAAAGGGCCTCGCAATCAAGGCAGAAAATTTTGTTACTTTCATGTATTGTGTGATCTGTAATTGTTTGGAATTGCATCCTTCCTCATTCATTGCCATTTCTTTTGCATCAGTTTTGCAGCAAAATAGTAAGGAAAACAAAGCAAGGGAGAGAAAAGTGGTGTTGCACTTGCTCCTTCAGAAAAATTTTCCATGACATAATGTTAGGGTCCAGCTGGTGCTTATTAAACTCAGGCAGTTTTGAGATGAAAAATGCTTCCTTCTGTCACTCTTTTTTTTCCAATAGAAATCTCAGTACCCACCTGATTGGAGAGGTCTTTATCACATATTGATTCTGGAACTTTATGTTGTATTTTCTATCATCGATACAGGATTTTGTGAGTGGGCTTCTGCTAAAAGATCAGAACAGATATCAAATGGTTCAGCTAAAATGTTTTATCCCACATCTCAAGGGACTAGGAGTGTATATTCATGTCTTAGCAGAGGAGGTAGTATCTTGCTGAGAGGAAGGTAGGTTTTGAAAAGTCTTGCAGTTATAAATAGTCATTTGAATACATCCTAACAAATTGCTGCCAAAACTGAAAATAACAATCAGGTCTTTTTCTTAAATTTCAAAGAATTTCTACATATTTCTCTGGCATGACCTCATTTAACATACAAGGAAGCAGAAGCAAAACAAATAGCAAGATAGAGCTAAGCAAGAGTTCCCAACACTTTTTTTTTTTTATATTGATGAAATGTAAATCCTCTTTTCACAGGGTTGCTATGTGTGTGAATGCCTGCTGATCTGTAGCAGCACACACACATGAAAATGGTCTGTTTACCTCAAGATGACCTCTAAAATGCCTAAGTAAATAGCTGTTATTTTCAGAAATGCTGAGTTTGCTCACCTTCCTTTAAGTCACCTACGGTTTATTGTGGGTGGTTTGATCCCATTAAAAAAAACCATAAAGTGTGAAGGGAGGAGTAGTTCCGTATGTCAGCACTGTTATGTGCAGTCTGCATGCACATAACATCCTAAGCTAGGAAAGATGTAATACTGCGTTCTGATGATGTTTAAAAAAGGCAAAACAGTCTTAGTAAGGTCAACAGAATACGTCTCTTCATGATTATTTGCCAATAACCTGTAATCGTAAGTTTTAACTGATGTTCTATTTAGCATGTCAGTTACACTTAATATGAAACTTTCATTACCATCCTCACTAGACCATTTTAAATCTGCATTTTTATTCTCCATTTCAGCTCCTGACTGTAATTGTTTTAATGATGCTTACTGACAGCTGATACTTTCTGGCAAGCTCTCACCGAGCTTGTAGAGTAAAGTCAAATTATAGTGTTGTATGCACACACTAAGTTAAAATTATTTTTTTGAAGTATTCCATGCTAAATTTCTAAATTGCAGCTGCCAGTCTGCAAATTATTCAATCTCTCTAAAGCACAATTGGAGAAATTGCATCATTTAGGGTATATAAAATGTACTTTTGAAAGTGTTCTTAGTCAATGAACTAGCAAAGCATATGACTTCAAGACTCTATCAAACAAAGGTCAACTCTTTTCTGGAACCTTGATATTGTACTGAAATATACTCAAGGGATTAAAATAAAAATGCAGTTGAGGTATCTTTTCATACAGCCTGGATCCATAAAAGCAGGCTATACAGGATAGAAGGGGATATATCACGGTATTGAACACGTTCAGTTCTTCATTTTCTCCAAGACAGAGTTTTTCTAACAAACTGCTAGTAAGTTCCTCTTTGTGATGTCTGAATATATCTGTGAAAGCCTTGTACATGGAAGTAGTAAACGGTACTTAGGTGAGAGGTGCCATTTAGGGCCTGGAGGGGATTGCCCTACCTATGGTTTGACCTCAGGATCATGTGGCTATTGTCGGGTGGTAAGTCATATCCTTGCTCCTCTGTATTTTCTGTTATTATAAAATAGTTTACATTTCTCTGAACAGAATCCACTAGTTGTTTAACATCTCCTCTCTAGTTCCTCAGGTCTGACTACAAGCAATCAAAAATTCTGTAAATGCTGTTCATCCTGCTGCTCCATCCTAAAAGATTCACACGCTATTCCAGCAGTTTTATCACAAAACAGAGGCTTCATCAAGCAGAACTGTGATTCTGGGCTACCTTCACCAGTAAGTGGCTTACCAGTCTGATTACAAGTTTATAGAAGAGAGACACCGACAAGGAGTAACTAAGGCTGAAATCTGTTCCTCAGCTTTGAAGCTGATTATGTTTTGCCTCCTTGTATCTTCCAAAGCTGGATCAGATGATTGTAAATAAGATTATATGATGTGGTGTCAGAGGCAAGGGATTTGACTCAGTGGCCCAGGAAACCTTTGAGCACTATGCACAGAACTGGATGCAATGGGCAAGTATATCATAAATCCTGAAGAGGCTGTGTACATTTGCTATAAAATGTCATAACCAGGAGTGCTCTGAAAGGTAACAATACAGATATTTTGTGAGAATATGTCTCACCAATATTCGAATTCGTAGAAGTAAACCAGAAGGGGCTGCGGTAAACTCCACCTAAACTGTGACACCTGTGTCCCCACAGCATTTACCAACTTCTGGATGTGTGTATAGCTTGGCTCTAACTGGAGGGGATGAGTCAGAGGTGCATGCTCCATCTCTCCCCCCGCCCTTCAACTCCACCATCATGGTTTCCACTGACAGAAATGCTGGAATTTCAAGCAAATAACCAAGCTGCTTTGCACCGAGAAGTTCCCCCACTGTAGGCAATCGTGGCGCTGTGTCTGTTCGGCATGACACAAATCACACCTACTCCACACACTACAGGCAGAGTTAGAGACTGTTCTTTGCCCCCTCCTGGGAGGCTTATGCCCTGGAAATTATAGAATTTGTTTTAGTGGAAAAGTAAAAAGGGCAGAAACCTCATATTCTTGACTGCAGCAGCAGATTTTCTGTATTTAGATTTAGTGCCTCAGTTGCATTCAGGGTATGTTGTATGTAAGTTTGTCCAGAAATGTCTTTACATGCAAATGCATACACAAATGCATGCCATTCTGTCTTCACTTCTATACATCATTTTGCTATTCACCAGATGGTATTAAGGCAGAAGACATCCTAAACATGTATGAATATTGTTTCTACTGTAATAAGTCCAGAAAGATGAGAAAATACAATGCCAGAAACTGAAAAGCCTTAACTGATTCTTATATATTTATTTCACTTTTTTGAAGCTTCCTTCTGATACCTTAAAGTATTTCGGCTGGTGTGACATAGAGGACCATGATGTTCGAGGAAATCAGCTTCATTGTCCCCGAGTGAGAGAAGGTAAAGATCAGAGACATATTCACGTTTAAGCCTTGGATTTATTTACTGAAACAGTATGTCCTTAAATGTTATGAGATTAAACCATGAAGTTTGTCATTGTTTTGAAAAGGGGCAGGATTTCATCCCGTATTGTACATGTATACTTTTCTTAATCACTAGGAAAATACCCTTTGTAATTTTGAAAATAAAAGCCAGAACTGTAATTTGAAAATTTTTAATATTAATATGGTGTTGATTACTTCTCTCAAAAGTTCGTTAACTTTCAAATATTGCTCAGAATGTAATAGCCATATGCCAAACAAGAAGACAAGAGTGAAATCCAGACCTGCATACAGTAGCACATTGGCTCAATTACGATCTATAGACATACTCAAGAATGAGGAATGAAAGGTGGATTTTAATATCTGGTGTTTTCAGATTTGGGACTAAACAGTGGAAAAATTCAATGCTGTCCTTGCTTTAGTTAGGAGTTTGAAGATATGCATAGTTTTAAGTGTTTAATTGACTTTAAGTCTTCGGCATGTGCCATTTTTAATATGTATGAGGTTTTGAGTATGGCTATTAATCCCAGTTGCAGTTGCCAGTGGACCTGAAGTTACAAACATATGCTTTCCTTAGGACAATGAAAGGATAAGTCCATAACCGTTATATAAACACATAGCATGTGAAAGAATATATAGAAACAGTATTTTAGAACTCAGATGCTTATGCTCAACCATTTAGAAACAGCTTTTATTCTGAGGTGTAGAAGAAATGTCACTTACTAACCATGTACCAAATCATCACAACCTTAGATTGCTTGCTGAATTATGAGCCCAAAAATAGTAGAAAAATCTTCACATTAATTTACTTCTTTGAAGTCTGGAAACCTATGCACCTATAGTATTATATATATTTCTTCATTTCAGATATCTTCCCACCCATATATATAATCTTTCAGCAAGTAACTAACTGCCAGTTCCATATCACATCCACTATTCCAAATCTTTTTTTCTGAGCAGGACCTTCAGAAGAAGAGCTATTTTTCAGAGGAGAAGAACATACTTTGAAAAAAAGGAAACAAGTAACTGACACAGAGAAGTGGCAAAAGAAACTGCAAGAGAACTGGGAAAACTGTGCTGTAAAACTTTCTCATTAACTCTTTGTACTGTAGTAGTAAATAAGCCAAATAATAATGTGCCGGCTGCCCCTTGCAGTTAGCAGTTTTAAAGCTCAGGTTGGCACCATGACATCATAAACCAGAAGGTTTTTACAGGCTGGAAGAAACACTGGAATACATTGTAATTTGTGTTCTGACCCTGTGCAAAGAGTAACCTCCTGTGTTGTGACAGGGCTTCATTTGAGCTGGAGCATAAAAGAACTAGTGACGTTCTTTGCCTGCTTAGTGCCTGATGATAAATGAATGGTTAGAGAATGGAGTAGTTTAATTTCAGCTTTTTCACTCTCCCCTCATACCAGCCTGAGCAGTTCTTTTGGCTGGAGGTGTACATTATTGCTGGCTCTGATCAGCAGTAAGTTATAATCTCCCTACGATCAGATAGTAACTGCATCTAACACTAAGATCAGTGCTCTGGATCATGCCTCTCCCTGTGCATGAACACAGGAACATCAATATCTGGCTGCTGCACAGCACTTTTTCCAGATTAATTTAGAGGCCAGACCCATAAGCCACCATCACTTAGTCCTGCTTTCTCCACCCAGGGCACACACACAAGCATACCCACTCTGAGAGGAAGGAGGGGATGGACAGTAGGATTCACATGCTTAAGAGATGGTTTCTTCTTTGCTTTCAAGGAGTTATGCAGTGCATCACTGTGATTCTAAGGTGAATTTGGCAATTGGCACCAAAAATTGGTTGAAGAGCGGCATAATAAAACAGATTCATCTTTTAACTAATTCTGTCTTTGAAAAGATTTAATTATATAGCTATCAGAAAGCAAGAAAAAAAAGTGATTTCTTTTTCCCTTTCCAGGAGTTGAACCTTTCATTTCAGGACCTGGGTGACCTGTACCAGGTGGAAAACTTCAAAAGAATCCTCCAAAGATTAATTCGGGTGGAAAAACTTTGGTTGGTGGACAATTCTTTGACAGACCTAAGTGCCATAAGGTTGCCAAGGTAGACAAAATGTCCTGATTTTATTTTTATGCAATATCATAGAAATCAAAAATATTATTTACCTAAGTAATAGCTGGACCACACTCCAGATATGATATTTTTTTAAAAATATGATATTTTAGGGGGTGTTTTATTGAGAATCCATCTATATATTGCTATTCTGAGTTCATGTCTTCTCTAAATTGAAAATACTCAGCCAGGAGGTCAGATAATGTCCCTATATTCCTGGTGGATAATTAATGAATCTCATCAAGTTCAGTGATATTTGTGCTGAATGGGAAAGTTGTTGAACACTGAAGGAATGTGTGTGAAGAGATGGTGGAACATGACCCAAGCAGAGAGGAGAGGTGTGACCGTTACAACTGTATTTCTACAGCGCATCTATTGCTACTATGTTGTCGTGTGTCTAGGTATATGGAAAGCTCTATTATTGAGAAAAACAATAGCGATGTATCCATTGTACGATATAAAGAAAGGTCAAGAAAATGTAGGGAATTGATCTTGCAGGATCTGGTTAGGCAAAAATAATACAAGTGTAGAACTAGTGTGAAAACAGATCTCAAAGAATCAAATTTAAGCCCTAAGATGCCATGACTTTGGCTAGGGGAAGAGCCATCCCTGTGTTGGCCTACAGGTGTATACTATCACGGATGTGATCAGTGATGTCATATGCTTTGTACTTTACAGATGCAGAGAACTAAATGTCAATAAAAACCACTTTACATCCTTCAAACAGCTGCCAAAGATACCTCAGATTCAGCACTTATCACTCGCTGAAAATAACATCATGACACTAAGTGGAATATCAGACTTTAGACACACTCCACTTGAATCCCTTATACTCAAAAGGAATCCCTGTGAATTTCAAGAAGGATACAGACAACTGTAAGTCTTACCATCTCATAACCAACATAAGATGAACAATACAAAGAGATGATTGTGAGCGAGTTCAAAAGGAATAGGATCTGAAATACAACAAGCTTTCCCGAGCAATCTTTTTATTTTCCTGTAGTCTCAACTATCATAAATGTTCCAGGAGCATGCGCTGGTGAGCCAGTATCTGAGAACAGCCACAAAGTATTCAGAAAGTGCCTAGGAGGCTTTCTGATCACATAACTGGCAGTTCTTGAGCTGAACTAAGTCCATGGATCAAGTTTAGAGACAGTGAGTAGGGCGGATAAATTCAATTCCCTTTTATTAATAGAAACTACCTATTACTCAAACTCTCTTCAGTCTCATTGCGTCCCTCGTGTATTCTGAAAGGAGTGTAAATTTCATTACATGCCAGAGATGGAATCAGAAGGGTATATTGAAAGATGGGAGCTAAAACAAGAGAAAACTAAGTTACCTTCATTTGATTTTTCTGGATTTTCTCTTCTCTCTGTGGCAGCACTGTGGAAGTTGCACTGCCTTGAACACCCCACTCAATGTAGTTGTATGTTGCAGTCAGTACAGTGTAGTGTAGACTTAACAGAGCTGTATCAGACACTGGAAATAAAAATTCAAATAAAAATAGAGAATTCAGGGGCGGATAGTTTGTTCTAAGTCTCCTGAATGTTTTGACACTCATCCCTCTATTCTGTTCTTCCCGGGTTGCTTTGACTCCAAAACCCTTGTGCACAGGTCAGAAAAGAGGAACGAAGCGTGTTCCTTCTGAACTCTTCAGAAATCTGTGTGGTTTTCCCCACTACAAACACAGAGTCATGTCAGCCATCTACAGAAGGCATTGTTGATATTTTTGAGATAAACCTTACAGCATGTGTCTAAGAAGTCATCTCTTCCTGTGAGGGGAAAAAAAGAGAAGTTTAAAAGAAAGTGGTTAATGAAAACCTTTCTGAGTTTCCCATAGGCTTTTTCCTTCAGTCTAGTAGGCATCCGTTTGACAGTGGGATGGTGATGCTTGTGCTTTCTAAAGGTAAATAGGCAGATATCAAAGTGAATGTTAAAAAGTAAATTTAAAATAATGGATTTCACATTTTATTTACATATCAAAAGGTTCAGGAAAAGAAAAGCTAAAAAGCACTTTATAACAATTACTAATTAGGTTTCTGCTTCTAACCTTACCAGTTCTTAAGGCAATTAAATATTGATAACTGGTACTACTTTCACTGCCAATGTTGGAAGACAGAATGAATCATTTTCAAGCATAGATAAAGCCCTGAGTTACATGCCGAGATTGAGCACTGGAGTCCGTGCTCACCTGAAAAGGCACAGGAGCAAACACCACAGCATGTGGTTTAGCACCCTCTGTGATGCCTATGGGGGGCTACAACTCCATCAAACTCTTCTGAAGAAGAAAACAGCAGTCTTCATAGCTGAGGTTACAGATACTGATGTGCTGTTTAAAGGGGACAGTATATGAGAAGGATATAATTTCGGTTTGGCATCATGGCCACAAAACAGGGACTTCTTTTCTTTGGGAGAAATAGAAGTGCAAAAAGGTTTGCAAAAAGAGCCCTGTTTCTCTGTCACAGAGGAACAGAAGCTGAGTTGCAATCTGAATTTTTGCTTTTCAGCAGTCTAGGAAATTTGATGTGGGCTAACACTGTGTCCTCTCTTTTGCATTAGACAAGTGTTTTGGTTCTACTCTATTAACATGTAGGTACTTGCAGTGCTTTACTGAGTCTAATGTTATAGAACTTGTACAACAGAATGAACCTGAAAAATTTTAATTAGATCTCTACCAGATAAATTCTGCAACAAATGACAAATCAAGATTTCCAACAATACAAATCTATTTTGGACATATTTGAATCCATTATTTGGTTTTTTTCAGTGTTTATTTTGTTCTTAACATTTTCCAAGAGTATATCTCTCAATTTCTGTTTTTCTTTTGTCTCTCTTTAAGTGTATTCTCCAGTTTGCCAAATCTGAAAGTGCTGGATGGTATCCCAAAACTGCCAGAGGACTGTTCACCCCCAGATATCAGCTTTTTTTTCAAAATGTGTACTATACTCTAGCACTGTATTTTTGTAGGATTGGAACTGTGCTACAATCACCTCACTTAAAAGATACAGCAAATCCTATGTATGGAAGTATTTTTTTTCTGATCAAAGAGGTATTGAAGCAGAAGTATAATTTTTTTAATGTGTTTGTGATACCACAGACTTCAAGTAAGTATGGATAAATGACATGTAAATAGACCTAATGTGTATGCTGAGTGTCATGAGTTTGGTATATTAAAAATATTGGGTGATTTTCTTGTCTAGGAACTCTATATAGATAACAACTCACAATTATTGACTCCCACTGCATGTCCAAGTTCAGACCACATACATGTCCATTGTGGGAAATGATATGGGGATTAACATCCAGGCTGCGAAGAAAAGTGAAAAAAATCCACCAAACAACCTGAATAAAAGAACAGGCCATGCAGTTTCCTTCTTTATGTCCCACCAATGTCCTAGTGCTCTTTAAGGCGCTTTTGTAGATGGGAAAGGCAGAGCCACCCCAATCATTTTGCCCCTTAGAAACAAAAAAATAATGCAAAAAGTCCTTGCTGGGAAGTTTGGTATGGCTAGAGAGCACTGGGGAGGTAAATCATGAAAAAGGAAAGAAGTCTTTTGACTCGTTGCTGGTGGTGTTTAGGAATGTCTTGTTGCTTAATAGAGGTTCCTCAAACCAAAGCCACAATGAAGGTAAAGAGCTGTGGAAGCTGAAAAGGGATTTGTAAGTGTTCCCCAGGATATCTGAATGCAATTAGCTTTGAGAGGTATCTGTCCTTGTCTTTGATTCATTTGCTGTTCAATTTTAGCTTTTTTCCGGGCAGCTCATGCTGGCACACAAATAGCTGTGCCACTAATGATTCAGGAAAAGAATGACAGAGTCCTGGAAAATGAAGACAATTAACAGAATTGCCTAATTCCAGAGACAGTCAATAAATTCTCTGCTGTGTATTGGCTGCAGGCGCGCTTTGGTTCAGTTACACGGGGAGGAATAATGACTGCTCAGCCCTGTAGAGCTCTGCAGTGCAATGACTGATCTGCAGAAAGGTCGCAGCAGCTCTGTATTGGGCCAGAGCAAGAGAAATGACCAGCTTGAAAAGTTTCCAGGCTCTCCCTTAAGACTATCCTTACCTCTCTCACAGCCTAGCAGTCAAAATAAGTTGATGAAAATATTGCATGAACAAGATCACAAGATTTCAAATGTATAACAGTATCTAGCTCAAAGTATTTTCTACATCTGTGCAAGGAAAAAGACAATGAACCAAAAGAGGTGTCAGGTTGAGGGCCCACACTCAGGAAATGTTCTTGCAATTCATAGGAGCAGGCCAGTTCCTTCCCAGCATTTACATGCTCACAGGGTTTGATAACTACGTCCAGTCAGTGTGGTCCACCCCAGCAATGTGAACAGACCATGCTATGACAAACCCCTCCATAAACATACTACAGAATCAAGGTGATGCAGTTCAACAATACACAGCAACAAGCATTTACAGATTCAGTGGAGAGATGATGTGGTTTACACAGAAACAACAAGGCAACCAGAGCTTTGAAACATAACATCAACATAAAAAACCCACTGCTGTGTTTGGAAATGGAAAGGGTAAAAAAAAAAGGATGAAGTAGATTCTTTTGACTGAGAACGTATGTGAGAAAACACCATCTCCTTGCAAGGCAAGGAGCAAAAGCAGAAAGAAAACAGAGCTTGAAGGACCACGCTTACTGACCTATCCAGAGACAGACAGCAGCGACCAGCTGAATACTGACTGCCAGTATGTATATAGGCTATGTGAGGCTATGTGAGACGGGAAAGGTAAAGAGTCTTTTCCCAAGGTAACAGTCACTAGGGAGCATTCAAATCAGCGATGTTCAAATCACAACGAAAAGCACTTGAGGACTAGGCTCTCTTCCCAGAATTTGGCATTAGAAAGTGAGACTGAACTGGGAAATTGCCCCAGTCCCACGGGTAGACATTTCAATTAGAAGCTCCTAGTGAAGCTGCCACCCACTCCTTGCACATGTAATTAGAAGTGGGTCGATTCTCTCCTGGGAACACACTCGGAGGCTTTGCTCTTTAGACCTGAGTCCTGGGTCAGTCACAAGAAAGAGGCACAGACAGTGATTTATTCTTTCTGAACAGGAAGTTGGTTCTACTCTCATAATTTTTCCTTTCATTATTTTAATGGTCTGGCTTTGGAATCTCAGAGAAATACGAGGTAATATCTGGGGAGCCTTGCTGATTTTATTTAAAGTGCATCCAGGAGCAAGAATGTACTGGTAATGTTTAAGTCTCTTTGCTGCAATGAGCTTTAAATGAGATGTTCGCTATCAGTAATGTCACACGGGAAACTGGAAAAAAAAGAGCAATTCAGTTCCAGCTGGTTGACTGGACAACAGCCATAAGACCGAGGAAGCATACTGGATACTTTGCAACGTTACCGGTCAACCAGAAACCCCAGCAGTGGGAACCTTTTGAAACTGGCCTCAAGTTCATGCCAAACTGGGGATAAATTAATATACATTTTGGGTTCTAAATTAGATTATTACTATCTAACTTTCTTTTCCTGCCAAACTTACACTCAGCTTCATTCAAGAAAAAATGGGCCTGCAGCAAATTGCTTTTGAGTTTTACTTCCTGGCTTTTCCACAGTTGTATTATGGAGTGGACTAATCTAAACCTAATCTATGACTTCAAGAAAATCTGGAAGGAGTGGAACAAAAGTAGAGCTTTTATTTTGCTAGAGCTTCTGAGATTTCATCTATTGTGATTGCACTCTGAAATCTAAAATAATAACTACCACCTGTGAGCTCAGGATCAGAGTATCATGAAATCAATTTCCAATTATTCACAAAGATTCCTTCAAACCTGACATTTCATGAGAATTTAGCAAAGTGTTCCCAAAGTCTTGCCTAACATCATGGGACAGGTCCAGGGCTGACAGAGCTCAGATTTGAGTTCCCAAGTGTCATTTTAACTGTCTCTTCATTTCTCATTATGTCTAAATCTCTCAATACAAAATACAAAGTGAGTGATGCCAAATCAAAAGACAGGTTCCTTAAATGAACAGAGTGAAAACAAGAGTTCATTTAATACATTTGTTATGATCCCAGGAATTCCAGAGCAGGGTTTAAAAATTCTGTAAGTGTTACAGCAGGTAACAGGTCAGGAAAGCAAAGTTCGTTGTAACAGAAGAGAAATCGTCAAATACTGATGAGCATTTCAAAGACAATTGTTTGCTCATATACATATTAACCTTGTAGAACATGAAGCACAAACACCTGATGTTCATATTGGTCGAAATTATTTAAACCACTGAGGAAATAAAGACTTTGAGCCAATATCCTTCTCCAGGACTGTGCATTGCAGCACCAATATTGGATGTGAATACAGTGAAGAGGAAAGCAGTGGCTTTCCTTGCAAAAGGAGATCTTGCAAAAATGTCTTCTTTTAGCTCCTTACACTGAGTTTCAGAGGCTGAGAGATTGCATCAGAGGCAAACCAGAGCTGATCAATTCAGCCTGTAATTCATCATCACAAATGTTAATGCAAATGGCTCAAGCCCAAATTTATACACCTATATGGAGAAAATAACTTGTCAGTGATTCCCTGGAGTTTAGCCTGGTGGTGCTGGATCACAGAACAGTTATAAGAACATCACGAATGACTTTCTGAGGCCCTTGTCAACTCTGAGATACCTGTAAGGAATTGGCCTGGCACGCACTTTGAAATATGCTGTGGGAAAGGCTCTGGGTGAGGTGGTATGTCATGGCGCTCGCTGCATCATCATAAACCACGCAACAGCTGGCACGGAGCGCTGTGCTCCGGCAGTTGGCTGGCACCTCGCTGCATGGCAGGCTCTGCTTTGGCTGCTGCTGGAGACAGTCTTGCTCTTCTTCCGCAGACCAACTCACATGTTCCTGTGGCCAGGAAGGGGATTAGTTTTCTTTTGTCTGCCCTGGCTTCTGTTCATGGTGTTTGTGTACTAGTGATGCCAGGACAGTGGTGCTTTCAGTGCTTGCTTATTCCTTCACCAAACACAAATGACTACCAAAGTCCTTCCCACATTAAATTCAACAGCAAAAACTTGCAGTGACTTCAAAGCTGCAGAAGCACAGCTTTATTTTTCTGTGTGGAAGGAAGGAAGGAAGGAAACTACTCACAAATCAGGGATCAGGTTACCAAAAAGGGCACTATGAGGCTGTTAACCTTTGAGAAGCAGAACACTCTCCCCTTTCCCTGGAGAACCTCTTTTTGAAGATCACAGTATATTCGTTTGTTTTAACATTTCCTTCCTGACTGATTAAAATCAAATACCTTCTGGTTCAACGTAAGTCAGCTTTCGATCACTGCCGCTTAATAAAGAACCTTCAGCATTTTTGATGATCTCCTTGCCATCAGCACTAGAAGAAAAAATGTATTTAGTGAATATATTGACTTCTGATTGATCATTTTGGATACATGTATGAGACATGCAGAGGCACGTTGGCAGAAAGTATGGGTGAAAATAAGCTATTAAGATGTCCCAGAGCATTCATTTTTCATTTGTAATCTATCATCCAAGACACATTTGCTTTGGAATTGCCAGGTATCATGTTGCATTATGTAATTGAAAGCACTGAAGATAAGGAAAGAAGGCCATTGACAACATATGCTTTGGATAAAAGCAACTATGAAAATAAACACAATAACCATAACAGGGATGAGACAAGCGTGGACAGTAACAAATTGGGAATGACCAGAAAGTTCATGAACAGTCAGGCTATAGCAAATGGTGCAGTCAGCCTCGGGGAGTGAAATCCAAGCCAATTTTTTTTTTTTTCTTTTTCATACTGAATATTTTTACTATATGTTAACATATTATATTTCCCATTCCT